AATTTAGAGATTATACAGAACCTAGCTAGTTTCCTAATCATGAACACTTCATATTTTAATAAGAGAAAGTATTTAACTGTTTGAGGCTCAAATTTCAAAACAGTATATTTTACACAAACCCCTACACATGCCAAATTGCTCTTTTTCTACAGCTGTGGTTACTGACTCATGTTTCAATATTACCTGATTTGACTCATTACATTTTTTTTGTATTCTTAATATCTGTAAACCATTTCCCTTTAAATATCTTCTACTAGAAGTACTTTCTGCTAACAATATGATTGCCTGAATTGACATTTGAGCCATGTGAATTTGAGTATACATATACTTATATTTTGCCTTGTGAATTTGCTAATTTATCATGCTGCATACGATACAAAAACTTCAACAGCAAACCCAAAAAGACCATTTGCCCAGGCTCCAAATCTTCCAGTTGAGGAGGATGCCTTCCGCTGTACTCATTGTTTTCTTATATTTTTGTGACCACCACCTCAGAAAACATTCATGACATATAATGAGGATTTACAATATAATCAGTATGTATTATCATAACAGTATTAATTTATTTTCTTATTTTTAAGGCATTGTTTTTTTTCCTAAGATATTTTGAAAGATTTTAGCTCAATTATCTTTAAAAGGAGTTCATGAGCCTACAGTTTTATGATTTTTTAAGACTCAAAATCACAAATATTTATCATAAATTTTAAATATTTTTTAGTCCATCAACGAGCAATAACATTCCGCTAATGAGGGTTGTACAATCCATCAAGCACACAAAGAGGAAGAGCAGCACAATGGTGAAGGAAGGGTGGATGGTCCATTACACCAGCAGGGATAACCTGGTCAGTAATCACATGCATTTTAATATGTTAGTAAAACTTTGTTATGAGTTTTATTTTGTGAATTTTTAAAATCAAAATGAGAATGAAATATATATTAAGACATTGTATATACTACAGCAATATGTAAAAGTTACACTGGAATTATAGTTACATTTGTAAAGAATTTTTAAAAGGCAGAATATTTAATGCATCGACTTTACGAACGGGTAGGACAATCAAGATTCAAAAAGGGTCTGGGATTATGCCACAATAAAGACTAATTACCCAAAACATAATAAGCTCTACAAATAAAGATATTAATAGAAGGAACTACAACTTCATCTGAAAAATCATCTTAATTACTACCAAAGATAGGAAACATGCTTGGTTTTATGTAGACTTTAACTTAGTGTAAATATACAAGTTATTTTTTAGAACTAGCAAAGAGGAAGGATACATATACTTGTGGAATGAGTAGATTAGAAGAATCAGCATACTGTAGTAATGATCACAGACTTTGGAGCTAGACTGCCTAAATCTCTGTGATTTACTAAAACCAAACTTGGGAAAGTTACTTAGTTCATTATGTCTTAGTTTCTTCATCTGTAAAAATGGCATAATATTGGTAACTGCCTAAATGATGCAAATGAGTTAATATATGAGAAAAGCTTGGAACAGTGTCTGGCGTATAGTAAGTGCACAATAAATGTTAGCAGCCACTG